GTTAGTGTTTGTTACTCAGAAATGACAACTCAATAATACTTCGTCTCCCAACTGCATGCGATGTCTTAATAGATATTTCTCATACTTCTAATACGTGCGTATGGCCAAGGTGTTACTGTAAGACATCACGAGGATGTAAAATAGAACTAACGTGTTTTAACTAAGATGTAGGACCCCATGTGCATGTTCCGTACATTCCACCCACGCATATCTGCAGAACATCTTTATTGGCCGTTTGACAGATACAAGATTGGTGGCGTTAGACAGCTAGGCATCTAAGGTTAGCAATTTACATAATGCTTTATATCTTGTCTACTGATCACAGACCGATACAAAATCATCGCTGAAAATCATGCTGAGTATCGTTGCACAGTACCAAATAAACGTCCAAAAGGATTGCATCTTGATATTGTTGCTACATCTTGTGTACATGAAGGAATATTAAATTATACTTAATGATGAGTCATGGTGGTTGGATGCATTCGTTAAATTTTCCAACTGGTCTATCTCCTTCCCTAACCGTATCCCATCAATGTATCTCCTGTCCCTCTTCTCCCTCCTCTACACACGCTCGCTCTATCTCTTCCTCTCCTCTCAAATGTCCAGGAATACCGTCCCCGGTGACTCCTACCTTACACCATCTGTTCGTCAGTGATAGGATTCAGCAGACAAACGTGTGATATTTGAGCAGAGCAATTAAGTACAGTTTTGTCTTTTATTTCAGATTTATATTCAACATCAGCCTGTTTTCCCCGTCGTTCATTGAAGGCCAAATATTCTACCAGATCCGTACTATTTTTAAAGGTAACAGATAGACAGTCATGGATATTTATAAAAACAGACACGTGCTGTGTGGACCATTAGCCACCGACTTGTACAAAAAATGAAAAGTTCGAACCGGACACTGATACGTATCATGTGGTGCAGTCTAAAGCTTCTTGTCTGGAGAGACACTTTCAGGTACATGTATAAGCACGGTAGGTTTACCGATGTTCTCCAGCCCTATCAGTGAAGGGCGGAGCACAACCATATGTACGCTATCAAACTGCACATACGTAAAACTCATAAACTTAATCACATACAGATGAAAGAATGCCATCCATTTGTATTTTTGTTAATTTCTTCTTTTGACTCCCCAAACAGATATGTAATAATAAAGCGATGGATCGTCACCTCTTATGATACTCAAAACAACACTAGATTATCAAAGTTCTCACTACATAGCGAAATGTTATCCTATTTCCTGTCAGGGGATTTAATTATATTATACTATTATGAGTATATAAATCTTAATTTAAGATATCAAGTTATTTAGCGTTTTTAGACTTCGCATACCTCATCTGTACAGCTAAATAGTTTACGCTCTGTTAACTTTATGTTAATATGTTTGCCAACATACCACATGTTACATCTATAGCAGGTACGCAATACGCCCGAAACAGTCGGAGGATACCTTATCTAGTCTACTGAGATGTAACAACAGATATTTACTGATCAAAAACATTTTACTGATGTCGAGTACCTTAATGAAATTCGATGACGTATTATAAAATGCTTCTCATTTACATGAGTTTCCTGCATGAAGGCCATTAGCTCTATCCGCTAATGCAAGTCATTAGCACACTTAAATCGTATATAATGTATAATATTACAAGTATGTACTTTTCGCCAAAAATAGTCAAGTACCATTAGATCGACCAAAAAGATTAGTTCCATACAATAACAAACATATTTTGTAAACATACTGCAATTTGGGTACAAAACAACATTTATTTAATTCCAACCACAGTAGTGGGACAGCAGCGTTCTCATTAGATTGTCGACACATGCGGTCGAATAATATAGTTGTACGACATTAGTCGACACAAACATAGCCTCACACACTTGTTGACATGATTGCTAAATAACAGAAATGTTTGTTTACAAGGTCAGTTGATCCACATAGTTGTTTTACATTCTATCCATAGTTACAACAAGATAGGTGTTTTCTAAATATGTTTCTACAAAGAAATTATAACCTCCTCTGCAGCCTGTGAAAGGGCAATCCGAAAGGAAAATACCTGAATGCCACCTTTACCAATCGAAATAACCCCAAACAACCCGAAGAGGGCTTGCTCAATATTTTTATGATACATACTTTTTTTTTATTAATACAAGGAGTTTAATCATTTTCTTGTTGACCTATAATCATTGTGGTGTTGTTGAGATTACATCGTTTTGAGATAATTACTTTGTATCGTTGTTTAGATTCCATTCTGGGTGTATTTTGAAGCCTTTGTGTTTGAGGTCATATCGTGATGTCGTTGTTGAAATCATGTTATGGTGCGTACACTGACACTTTTTGAGGCCGTGTCATGGAAACGATGTGTTGTTGATGCCATGTCTTTGACAGGTTTTGTTCACATCTGAAATATTACAATTGCCCCAAACTTGTATAGACGATAATGATAAAGATATGATAACAACTGCGTGTTCTTGACTGTAACAACACTTGTGATATTCATAATCAGGGGGGACATATTTTGTTGTTGTTTCCATTTCATCACCACCGTGGACTTGTAAACATGATTGCCATAGTAACACTTATTATTATACAATCCATGAATTGTAAAACGAATTGATATTATAATTAATACCGGCATGAAAGTAAAAACATTCCGTTGAACTTACATAAATACATTACAAGTGTACAGTCATTAGATATCTAATTACAATGTATAAGAATTCCCTGATATTGAAGTATAACAGCGTTACGTCACCCAAATGTTTGCTTCTTCCGATAATCTTACATAAGACAGAGAAGCTTCAAAATGACTCTGATCCGATTGGGTTCATAACCCAATATCTATACCTGGTCTTTCAGCGGTAATGTTGATACTTGTAAATACAAGGATTTTTAACACAAGAAATGTGTTTGCAGATACATTATTGTACTCCGTGAGGCCAGAGGCTGAGGGAAATGTCTCCTTTTGAGGTTTCAGAGGATCACTGTGCTAATATCAAATACGTTAACAGCTGTTTTAGACATATAAAATGTCCATTGTGACTCAGCCGGATTTCTTTCCTTTATTCACAGGAAACAAAAGAATATCAATACTATGAATACATAGAATTAACAAAATATCGATAGAACAAGTTTCATGTACATTTCACTCGGTTTTCGGGGTCTGCGCGTCGTTGTATTTACAACGCGACTAAATCCGCCGATAGACAATCCGCCATTGTGATTGGTATAAAAATAATTTGTCATAGAAAGATTATGTTACTATTTTCAGCAAAGATTATCGGATTGTTGAATGATAACCCCTCGAGCAAGAGTTCGGCAGTTCAACTTATTATATGATTGTATTTCATTAATACCTGTGATGGAAAGTTTAGACATTGACAGAGGAGCAAAAAGAAGTCATGTAATAAACATCTTATTGTATTTCCTATACTGTATTGCAGTGTTCCTGATCGTACATGTATTTTATCGATCATATGGCCGAGAAATAAAACGCCGTTTTTAACTTTCGCGCTCGAGTTTCCCCATTCATATTTCTCTGACGGAATGCCTCTCTAAAATGGTGAGCAAGAGCACTACACATGAGTTCCAAGTGACGAAAGCAGCCGACAACAATGGCGCGTCAGCCGTACCATTTCTTTATTATCAAATATTAACCACACGTGTGATAGGGAATAACTATTCATTGTTTCCTTGAGATACTATTTTTTAACATGATTAATCTCAGAGAGGCGAAAGATAGTGTTTCCATATTGCAAGGGCAATACATGTGTGATGTTAACTCTTTGTTTTAAAAAAATATCTGCATATATTTCAAGTGAAGGAATACATACTTTCTCTCCTGAATTCGAATGGTTTCCTCAATCCCGACTCATTGAATAAACCTGCTAGGAGTTGGTTAACATTTGTATTACCCATCCCTTCGCCTCATTCGAAAGGGAGTTATTACGTTTAATTATTCCATAAGTCTAACTACGGTTAGCAAGGATTATCTGGGGGGTTTTGTGTCCTGAAAATCCGAGTCGAAATATTTAATAGTAAAATCACAAAAGTATATATTTACACAAGTAATAAGAAAAGTTATCATTAATATTCAATTACATGTATCATTATTTAAATAATAATTTGTTTTTTTGAAGACACGATATTGACGCTTTACCTAAACTTAATTGTACATTATAATACGTCATCTATAATCGATCGAAATATCTTATTTATTTTAATTTGCATTACATCTGTATCAGTATATTGCAGCTATACAACCAATATACAATGTATATAATACAAATAGTTTCCTACATGTATCATTGTTCTTACGGGACTGATATGTATACAGTAAAACCTCGTTATACTGCCATCATTTGTCCAGAGACAGTTTGGCGTCATAAAGGGTTTTAGCATTATATCGAGGTTTTACTCGATATCAATTCACATTTTTATAGAGTAGAGTAGTAATGCTTTATTTAGTTATTTCGAACAGTTCTTTGAACAGCAAATCAAGTCTTGACAACAATGAAATTGTTAACGTCACAATAGAGATTGATGACGTTACAATAACAAATGCTGTTGTTGTTATAGTCTGATAACAACATTTGCCTTCTCAATGCATTGAAATTGAAGATGCAGACAAATGTAAATTTATATTCGTATAAACATGAACATGTATTTTTATCTATAACTTCCGTCGTTACATTTTATATACAGTATATATACAGTAGTTAGTACACTATAATCATTAACAATGCCATGTTCGCTTATGTAATTCGTTTTACTTTGTATAGAGTATATTTTCGTTGATACTCTTCAATCATCAGCCATACCAATAGTGGTTATACTTTATATTCATAAACCATTCCAATAATAATTTACTTTTCAAACAGTTTTGACATTATAAGTCAGTTAATATCGCTGAACATTATTTACATATGTGTCTTTGTTCTATCAACATTGAACCGAAATGATTGCAAAACAAACTACATAAAGAGTCTACACTTACGTAAAGGTCGCCAAGTACCGGTTAGTCCAATCTCGGGAAATAGTCCTCTCAGAAACAGATTAACAATTATGCACGTTGACCCAGGTTTCTATCCACAAAAGGACAATTAAAATCACATTGCTTTGATTAACATTAGATCAAAACACTCATTTCTTTTCCCCAAGATCCAAAAATATTAATTCACATTTTATTCCGGTCAATAGGAGGATGTGCGTTAATCCGGGTTTCAGTGAGAGCGGGGATGTACTTGTGGAGGAGAACCTGAGTTCTGTCCTCACCCACGGCTCCTCAGTAATGCTTGCTTTTGATTGGCTAACGACGATATCTAAAAAGCTGTCTGTAACTGTTAATCAAAGTGCCAGCCTCCGTGCTGACGGCGGGAAAGGCGACCGTACATCTCTGCTACAACGGGGTATTTGCTTATATTCGGCCACGTGCAGTTAGCGATTTGTCTTGTCATCCAATAGACGCTTATTAGATGTTCTTTGACTGCGAGACGCGCTGGACTGTACTCGGCTTTCCGCTCATCCACGGCCGTCTCGTGCCTAACCCTTCACGTGTAATAATGCGTTCCGTTATACCAATATATCCATTCTCAAGTCGTATTGTACAGACTAAAACCCCTAATTATTACTGCGGGATTCTCCCAGGAAATGTGAGGCTTCAAGCCTATACAGCACCGTACCTTCCTTATGGCAAATCTCAGTTGTTCCTAGTGGCACCAGTTCAAAAACATATTACATTTCTATATAGATATATCTTACTGATTCTTTTTCGCATTTTTTCCAGAAAAGTAAATTAAAGTTAATGATATCGGCTGTTGACCTATGACAGAGTTTGCTATATCTTTGATTTATATAATAATGTTTTGTTAATGAGCTTTCAACAAATCAGTGAATTTTGTTGGAGGATAAGTTGAGATCGTAAGAACAATTGAGTCATATCGTCCGGAAACGTACTATTGGTCCTCGGGTTCACGATGCGTTAATGTAATAATATTGACAGTTACCTAATCTGCACACTTTTTGAATCCACATTATTTTATCTCAAGAGGTTCAATGGTTCCCGTTCTGACTAATTCCACAGTTATCGATTTAGCGATGTTCCACATCTTGCTTTCCATGAAGTTCTATCGAGGTTCGACGATATCCGGTCTAACAAGGTTCTATGTGATATAACGAAGTTCCATAGTGTCAGGTCTAACAAGATTTTAATTTTCCTGTTTAATGAATATTCACGGCATCCGCTCTAACGAAATTCTACAGTGTCTGGTCTAACTTTATACATGTACCATGGTGTCTGGTTTAACGTGGTTTCACGTTGTCCGATCTAACGAGGTTAAGAATGCTGATTTTCCTGTTTGAAAATATTTCAGTCATCAGATAAAACGAAATTCTATGATGTCTTGTCAAACTGTATACCATGGTGTCAGGTCTTATGATATTCCATGGTGTACAGTCTGACTATATGCCACGGTGTTAGGTCTAACGATATACTATGGTTTGCAGTCTTAACTATATGCCACGGTGTTGGGTCTAACGAGATTCCATGGTTTGCAGTCTAATTATATGCTATGATGTTCGGTCTAACGAGATTCTATGGTTTGCAGTTTAACTATATACCACGGTGTTCGGTCTAACGAGATACTATGGTTTGCAGTTAACTATATGCCACGGTGTTGGGTCTAACGAGATTCTATGGTTTGCAGTCTAATTATATGCCATGGTGTTCGGTCTAACGAGATTCTATGGTTTGTAGTCTAACTATATACCACGGTGTTCGGTCTAACGAGATACTATGGTTTGCAGTCTAAATTATATGCCACGGTGTTGGTTCTAACGAGATTCTATGGTTTGCAGTCTAATTAAATGCCATGGTGTTCGGTCTAACGAGATTCTATGGTTTGCTGTCTAACTATATGCCACGGTGTTGGGTTTAACGAGATTCTGTGGTTTGCAGTCTAACTTTAAGGCATGGTGTTCGGTCTAACGAGATTATATGGTTTGCAGTCTAACTATATGCCACGATGTTCGGACTAACGAGATTCCATGGTGTACAGTCTAACTATATGCTAAGGTGTTCGGTCTAACAAGGTTCCACGTTTTCCTGTTTAAACAGATTTCACAGCATCCGTTCCAAAGAGGTTTCACGGTACATTTTGTATGTGTAATAAAAATAACGTTTAAAACATATGTTACTTCAGTCAAATAGATATTTTGTAGATCATTAAATCATACCTTTATTTGCATTGCGAGATACAACGATCTGACGTTCATATACATATGCTTCACCGATGTCTTATCTGGCGCGTAACCATGTGTCGTGGACTACCTCTCATCTGGTACATAGACCTTCACCGGCGGGTGTTTTGCTAATTTGTTCCATTAGCTTTTCTTTCCTTGTACTTTCCAAAGCGCTCTCTGTTCTAAGCGGTGCGGTAGCGCACCCTGAAGCCAATGTTTCCGTCATCTAAAACCACAAAACCTTTCAAAAAGATATGAGGTTTGTCAAAACCTCACAGGCTGGCACCTAGGGGGCAAGGCAACAGTTGGTTTTCACATTCATGTGGAATTCAAAGAAACGATGTTTAGTCCATCACTAACAGAAACTGTACCGGATATCGATTATTTGCATAATGCCAATTAAAATAAGTATCTATAAATTGTTATTGAATTTTCCATGCAAGAAAGCGTCAAGCATGGCCGTATACCTCGCTGTCAACAGTGCAGTTAGTCTATAGTTACATAAATGTATACGTATCACGCTATTCTATCTACTCTTAAATACCTGCTCTTAACCAATGTATTACATGAGAATAAACATCATTCTTTTAAACGTCTTGCACACTTGATTGAAGTCGTTCACGGTGTGTAGATATCCGACTTTGATAGCGGGCTGTTTGCCTTCTTCGTGTTCTACCAGTAGAACCCAATACTTATCCAACGTAAACGATAAAATATGCATAGGAGGTATCTGATCAGTGGTACCGTAGTGTATTATAATTCCAAAAAGTCGTCAAGAGTTTCCGGCGACACACGCATGTCCAGCAAAGGGGACACGTGATTTTGGTGCATGTGAGGGAGCTGGTTATTACAAATGAAGGTCCGGGAACTGGAAGATTGTTCCGGAACGCTACTTTCTCCTATCTCTAACTTTCAGGCTGGTAAACTATTCATATAAAACAGCGACTGCGATTAAAAAACACGAATTAATTCTTCTGATGCCAACAATTTATACCAGCAGTTTCCGGTTGGTCAAGTTGAGATCAAGCAAGGTCACTTCCGGTTGAACTATAAGAACCCATAAAAGCACGCGTTCCGTCCTGGTAACATCAGTGAACTTTATGTACGTCGGAAGTGCGCCGATGTAGCGGTAAATTACGTTTACGTGTCTAATGCAATTGTTCAATGAAAGTCAACATCATTCAAACATGCTTATTGACTACTATGTATAACGTTTTTGGATTCTAGAACGAAATTAAACTCACTATTTCCTAGGAGCGTATACTATAACTAGATATTTACGACAAAGCCTATAATTCAATAACAGCTTAATCGTTGACACTGTTAGCTAGTGCTAACATTATATAGTCTAAATCGATACCGCTTCCTCTATTATCTTTCAGATGTGTATGTTCCGATACCCGTACAATCAAGCCCTTTGTACGGTATGAATAAGGAATTCAGTATAACATTATTTTATTCATGTACTCCCATACGATCAGGTCACCCCAACTCAGAAGCAACTCATTGTCCCTGCAATAATTTCAACTTCCCATGAAATTATCATCTCTACTTTCCACATGATAATCTAATCCTCCAACACTACCATCTCATCCTTAAACGTTACCAACTCACCTTTCAACACTACCATATCATTCTTAAAACTACCTTCTTTTTCTTCAACACTACCTTCTCCTCCTTCAACATTTCCTTCTCCTCCTTCAACACTACCTTCTCATCCTTCAACACTACCTTCTCATCCTTCAACACTACCTTCTCCTCCTTCAACACTACCTTCTCCTCCTTCAACACTACCTTCTCCTCCTTCAACACTACCTTCTCTTCCTTCAATACTACCTTCTCATCCTTCAACACTACCTTCTCCTCCTTCAACACTACCTTCTCATTCTTCAACACTACCTTCTCCTCTTTCAAAACTACCCTTTCTTCCTTCAATACTACCTTCTCATCCTTCAACACTACCTTCTCCTTCAACACTACCTTCTCATCCTTCAACATTACCTTCTCATCCTTCAACACTACCTTCTCCTTCAACACTACCTTCTCATTCTTCAACACTACCTTCTCATCCTTCAACACTACCTTCTCATCCTTCAACATTACCTTCTCCTCCTTCAACACTACCTTCTCCTCCTTCAACACTACCTTCTCCTCCTTCAACACTACCTTCTCCTCCTTCAACACTACCTTCTCCTCCTCAAACACTACCATCACATTCTCCAACACTACCGTTTCATCCTCAAATACAACCATCAATTCCTTCAACACTACAATTCCATCCACAAACACTACCATCATATCCTCCAACACTACAATCCCATCAGTAAAACTACCAACACATTCTCCAACACTACCATCACATCCTCCAACACTACCATCACATCCTCCAACACTACTACCACATCCTTCAATACTACCATCACATCCTCCGAGACTACCATCACATCCTCAAACACTACCATCACATTCTCCAACACTACCATCACATCCTCCAACGCTACCATCCCATCATTAAAACTACCATCACATTCTCCAATACTACCATCACATCCTCCAAAACTACCATCACATCCTTCAACACTACTATCACATCATCCAACACTACCATCACATCCTTCAACCCTATCATCACATTCTTCAAACACTATCATCACATCCTTTAACAAAACCATCACCTCCTTAAACACTGTCATCAAATCCTCAAACACTACCGTCACACCATCTAACGCTACATTCACCTCCTTCAATACTATCATCAAATCCTCCAACACTATCGTGTCACCCTCAAACACTACCATCATATCCTTCAACACTGCCATGACATCCATCAACAGTACAATTCCATCCTCAAACACTACCGTCACATCCTCAAACAAAACCATCACATCCTTCTCATCCTTCAACACTACCTTCTCATCCTCCAAAACTACCATCACATCCTCCAACATTTACATCACATCCTCAAACACTGTCATCATATCCTCAAACACTACCATCACATCCTCCGACACTGCCATGACATCCATCAACAGTACAATTCCATCCTCAAACACTACCGTCACATCCTCAAACAAAACCATCACATCCTTCAACACTACCATCCAATCCTCAAACACTATCATCACATCCTCCAACACTACTAT